GGTATACGACTACTGAACTTATTTACTGGACATTGACTCTGATATATGCACTAAACTCTGTGAAAACTGTTGTGCATTACTTTGGAACTGAGAACAAAGACTTAGCTGTAAATATACCTGTATATTCTGTAAATAATACAATATCTGCTATCAACACTACTCTGGTGCTTGGCGTATTCATCATCTCAGAGAAGATCTTTTTGGTTATCACAACCAGGTGTTTACCTGGATTACTGCTACTCTGTCACAGGGTCACGAGACGTTCAAGAAGGAGAGGCATCTGATTTCCCATCGAAACATTCACCCCGGTGAGAACCTGGCAGGTCTGCCTCCTGACATTGCATCAGGGAAAGATAAAATTGTGTTTCCTTTAGAAACAAAGAACGAGAACAGATTTTTGTAGTTCCAAGGAAACACTGGGGCGGAATCTGATTTTCTAATGACTGTTGTGGATTGTCCTCTTTTCCCCTTCACTGTCCTTTTTCCTACACCAAAAAGCTCTCTGTCTCTGTAGGCATCCTTCATTCTCGAGAGACTATGATGTCATGCTCTATACGGAGGTCTTGGAACAGCGTCTGGTGTGGCTGAGAAGGCCGATTCGAGAGTGACAATCTCTTCCACACTGAAGACAAATCCAATCTGTCCTCTTACCAGCTCCCTGGTTTTGCTCGTTTCGCGACTGCCTCTTTGCCTCGGCCTGCTGGACAAGGGTCTCTTCAAACCAAAAAGCAAACAAAACAAAATCATGGAAATGGGGTTCCCTTTCTAACATGAGCCCTACAGGCTTCTCCTCACACCCCAAAAGGCCCCTTTCCCCCGTTTATACCCAAACAATTGGCCTGGGATGAGAGTTCTGCTTTCCCACCCCTAGAAGTGACTCTTTCTCAGCTAGGGGTGCAAACACAGACCCCATCTTACAGATGCCCTTATGATATGTGGCCACCCTCTCTGTGCCCGTGGGAAACAGGGACACGCTCCCTTTAGGGGTCAGCCCTGTCCTGGCTTCTCCTGCCTACCAGCCTGCTTTTTTGCTCCTCCTTCAACTGACCAGGGATGCAGGGGTCCTTTCCTCCCGCACTCCTTACTTTCTTTCCTACCTCCTGGATGCTCCCTATTGTGAAAAAGCACAAAAACGAGAACCCGAGCAGCTTGAAGCTTGCCTTTGGTTTTGAAAAAGCCCCCTCCCCATTCTGGTCCTGCTGGGAGGGTCGCCCTATATGGTTTGCAATCCTATTGCGTAGCCTCGAAGGTCATCCTAGAGTAAGGCCACTGACTCTTGTGGGGATTGGGCGAATCCCCTCCTTCCTCAGTTGCCATGATTCAAACAGGCCTCCTCTAGTTCTGACTTCCTCCACTAATCTACAGGGTTTCAGCTGTTGCATCATTAGGGCTGCTGGATGGGCTTCTGTGTAGGTAGAAAAGCCTGTTTTCTAGACCAAATCCTGTTGATTCTAAAAGGCCTTGAAGCAAAAGAGGAGGATAGTGATCATTAATATTTGTCGTGATGATTCGAGTTCCCTGCTTTATCGACTCAACTGATTTTAATGGGTTTACAGCTGACATTGTTTTCCATTTGCTTGCTCATTAAATCTCTTCTCTTGATGTTTGTAAATCACCTGGAACAAAAAATGTAGTATAAAGGAAAGTTTGAAGAGTCATCTATAATAAAAGTAGCAATAAAATGATCATACATTTATTTATTGTCTCATTTATTTTATTTGTTGGTCATCTGCCTCCTTTGCAGGACTCAGGGCAGCTTACAAATATGTTTAAAACAGGTGCAACGATAAAGGACAGTGAATTACAAAATCCAATACAGTGGTTCCCCGCTTGACAGTTACCTCGTTAGACAAGGAAATCGCTTACTGATGAGTATGATCTTTGTATGGGTTTTTTTGTTTAACGAAGATCGGTTCCCTGCTTCGGGAACTGATTTTTCGCTTAACGACAATCAAAACAGCTGATTGTCGGGTTTTCAAATGGCTACCCACTGTGCAAAATGGTTCCCTGCTGTGTTTTAGGACGGATTCTTCACTATACAAGCACCGGAAAATGGCAGCTCTATGGAGGATCTTTGCTGGACGCTGAGGTATTTCACCCATTGGAATGCATTGAACCAGTTTTCAATGGATTTCAATGGGTTTTTTACTTTCGCTTCACGATGATTTGATTCTCCAGCGATTTTGCTGGAAAGGATTATTCTTGTCAAGCGAGCCACCACTGTAATTTGTCAGGTGAAAGCAAAGACATAATACAATTGTTTTGTTAACTGCAGCTTAATTACTGAAAACTGGAACTTTGTGCATTTTTAAATATCAATCCGTATCAGAGCCACTGTTGGGATAAGTGAGGGATTATTTCAGTTTTTTATTTTTACTTCCCTCCATGTAAAAGATTTGTTTTTTGTTCAACTGAGTTGTACAGTTCATAAGACTCATGAAAGGTGGGAAAAGTTCTGAAATGATTTATCTTTGTCCCATTTTTTCCATCACAGACACTTGACATTTTAACACAGGTGTGTAAAATTTTTATAGCCATTATAGAGAACCCAATTTTAATAGTGAATGCTGTACATAGCTTGGTCTCTGACTCCATCTGGTGGTCACTTCTGGTAAGGACATAATGGAAATATGTTTCTATAGTGAAGATGACTGTATACAGTGGTGCCTCGCCTT